CCTGATCAGTTTTCATCCAAATTTCTGAAAATTGAGATTTTTGACATTGTCAGATTCTGAGCTTCAAAATGAGCTCAAACACGACTAGGCTCCGCCCATTTTGAATTTTCCAACTGACACGCGACGCACAACCGCGACGCGCCACTGAAAAATGAAAGTGCGCGGAGCCTAGTCGTGTTGGGGCTCATTTTGAAGCTGTCATCGTGCCAAGCTTGAATTTGAAAGATTTGGATAAACATCAACGGGGTTACGGTAGTTTTTCTTGCAGCTCTTCGACCTATTCTCCCACTCGGACCCCCATCGTTCGGACGCCTTCCCGGGAGTTCGTAAAATGGAAGCGGAGATTCTGAAGATGACGTGTGCCATGTTCCACGGTGGAAACGACGCTTGTGGAGTGGTGGCTGGCGGTGGAACGGAGGCTCTGATGCTCGCCTGCCTGGCCTACCGTAACCGATCGAGAGCAAGAGGAGAGTGGAGAGCCGAGATATTGGCTCCGTCGACGGCTCATCCGGCGCTGGATAAGGCTGCCGCATTCTTCGATATGACTATTAAAAGGTGCGGGAATTTGGCTGGAAATGAGCAATTTCGAGCCAAAAATTCATAATTTCGGCAAAAAACCAGCCAGAATAGCCGTTTTTAGCGCCTAAATCGGTCCAGAAACGCGTTTCCAGGGTTACTGTAGCTTCGATTCTGTGCAAACACCGATAAAACGTCATAATTGACGACAAAATGCAGACAAACTGAATTTCAAGTGTTTTATTTTGCATTTCGTCGTCAAATTTGACGCATTCAGTGTGTGTGTGTGTGTTTTGCACACAAACGGAACTACAGTAATCTCTGAAAACTGTAAAATGCTATTCTTTCCAGAATCCAAGTCTCCGAAACCGACGACACTGCGAACGTCGGAGCGATGAAACGAGCCATCGGACCGCGCACGTGTATGGTAAGTGGGCACCGAAAAATCGATATTTTTAAGCTGAGCAATCTGGAAATTTTCAGAAAAAAAAATTTTTTTCGAAATTTTTTCTAGACCCATTTTCAGCTGAAATAGACGATTTTGACACTAAAAACGTCTGAAAAATCGATTTTCAGCTTAAAAATTGACCCAAAAATCGATTTTAAGAGCCAAATTCAACCCAAAATCGCCAAAATTTCCAGATAATCGCCTCCGCGCCGAAT